AACCAATAATTCACACTGATAAAAAAATAAATAATAATAAAAAAAAACTTATGCCAAACATATGCCTCTCACTCACCCTTAGGTTTCCAGTGGTCAGGCTGCTCTGATAATCTGTCCTATGGCGTTGCATTCTCTCAGACCTTTGTGGATGAGCCAGAGAGAGCTAAAGGCATGTCGTCAGGGCGGCCGCTAATGAACATTCACAATAATGAGGCAGGACGGAAGGCAAGTGAGATGTTTCACTTATTGATATTAAAACTCATCGTCAACTGCATATTGTTTTCATGGTTTTCTCTATCTTTGTTCAGGCGATCCTCCATAACATGCAGGTTGAGTGCAAGTGTCATGGTGTTTCGGGGTCCTGTGAGCTCAGAACTTGCTGGAAGGTCATGCCTCCGTTCCGCCGGGTTGGTGCTGTGCTGAAAGAACGCTTTGATGGGGCCACAGAGGTATGTTACAATGGCTCTGTTCCAAAACTACTGAGCTGCCTAGCTGACTACTGCCTACATCTAAGGCAGAACTCTAACTGAGAAGAAACCTCATAAGTGACTGATATAGAACCAAGTGTGCCACACACATCCTGAAAAGTGAAGCCAAAACGTTTCGAACGCCCCCTGGTGGCTGGCTGCAATATAGGTCATAAACCCACCCTCTTCATGTAAACGAATGGGACGTGTGGCAAAAAAAAAAAAATTATTATATATTATATATTATATATTAATATTACATTTTTCCAGAAATGGTTTCTGACATTTTACATAGTTCTTATCAAACTGATGTATGTTCAAGTGTTTGTTTTTCTGAGTTTGGTTTTCGTTAGTTATTTGGTGCTAGAAAAACAGGGTGTGTTTCAGTAGCCTTGATAGTTCATTCCTATACATTTTTTCCCAAAAGAATCTTTAAAAAGTCTTTGTTAACGTGTTATAAGCCATAAACCAAGCCTACATAAGGTGAGTCAAGCCTAGGTGAATCACAAAACTACAAATTTTGATTTGAAGCAAATAAGTATCTGAAAATGAGACAAAAAGACAAAGGTACAAGACTACACTAAAAAAAATGCTTCATTCATCCAATTAAAAAAATAAGGGCAAGTTATTTCTTTTTCATTGGCTCAAGTTAAAAAATATAGATGTGAATCGTTACCCTAAATTTTTTTAATTGGATGAATGAAACATTTTTTTCAGTGTATGTACTTAATAGCTATGAGAGAAAGAACTACAATCCCATAAAGCACTGCGAATGACAGTCAATAAAAAGGTAGAAATATTAAACTAGTGTTTTAAACTTATAGATATAGAAACGATATATTTTATGTTTATTGCAAAATATGCATAGCCTGAGAGCATAGGGGAAATTACTCGATTACAGTATGTTACGTGAGTGGGTGGCGCTAAAGAGTTCTTTTGGCACAATTTTCTTGTGCGATTCAACAATTGGTGGATATTTCTCTGCAGAATCATGGGTAACAATTTTCCACCATGAATTCCACTGTTGAATATGGTTCCTTAACGAAACGTTGAAAAATGTGGGTCGTCTCCAACAAACAACAACACGTAGCACTTACTGTAGGTACAATAGTCTTTTTTTACCAATGTTCCTTAGCACTGAATGTAATCCACCATCTTTGATGGTTTTTGAAGCTTGTCGCAATGCATTATGGGACTGCATTCTCTGTGAAGGATACAGGCATTGCTGAATTAGAATTTCACCATTGTAGTGTCGTTGAAGGCAGCATAAATATGTGCATCTAAGGTCAAGGGTCATGCTCATACTTTCTGCTTAGGTAAGGCTGACACGTGTGGGCTCTCGGACAGCCCTCCTTCCCCGGGATCCCCAAGTGAAGCCACCAGCTGCACGGGACCTGGTCTACCTAGCCCCTTCACCAGATTTCTGCCGCTTGGATCCAGACAACGGCATTCCTGGCACTGCAGGACGACGTTGTAATGGTAAACGTGTAAAAACTAGACACAAAATAATCTTTGATCTTGTATATAATTTCTGATTATTAATTCTCTAATCATTTCCTGGTCTTAACTTAACCTTGTTCCACATCCTAGGAACCTCACGGTTGGCACCAGACGGATGTGAACTGTTATGTTGTGGCCCAGGTTTTCGAGCTGGCCGGGCTGAGGTGGTCCAGCGCTGCTCCTGTAAGTTCTCCTGGTGCTGCTCGGTTCGCTGCCAGCAGTGTAAGAACACAGTGCTCATACACACCTGCCGAGAATGAGACGTACCTGGAAAAACCGCACAACCACACCAGAAGCACCTCATCTCATGCCAGCCTGCATTAATGCCCACATGATGAACAACAAACCAGCTCCATTTAAAACATTCTGCATCATGTCTCCTATTTGGTGACTTTAAAGTTCTTTCAGATGTGACATTACATTATATAATTGTTTTAATCTTCAATTGCACTTTTGCTAAAAAAGGAACATGCAGACGCTATTACATTTCTTAAATGCTACAAAACCATTAACCAACCTGCTCAGACAACGCTCTTAAAGCTGAGATTAACCTCTGAATAATAGCAGAAGAATAATGTTAGTTTAGTCTGAGGCCTTAGCCTTTAATTCTAGAGTCTCTCTCCCTGTTTACTGTATTTATGAATTTCTTTTCAGTTTTGCTGATTGTGTTTATTTATTTGACTTCATCATGCCAGTGTGGCATTATCTCTGGATGGAAGGTTCCACCTGCAAACTCTGCAGCTTTAGCTGTGTTTTGTTTCGGCTTGTCCTATTGCATAGAGGCTCATTTATTGCCATTTATAATCTATATGGCTTAAAATAAAGTTGTTTGTTCATGTGGAAAGATGTGATTGTTAATTATGGATTGGCACATTTTAAATTAAGAAATTTAATTCAAAATTTTGGGCTCAGTAGGGTTTTTAAAAATGTTTTAAAAGTCTCTTAGGGTCACCAGAACTGTATTTATTCAATCAAAAACAACTTTTGCAGCTAAAACACAACATTTATATTTTTAAAAGTCATTTATTACTGTGGTGGCAAAGCTGAATTTTCAGCGTCATTACTCCAGTCTTCAGTGTAACATAATCCTTCCGAAATCATTCTAATATGCTGATTTGGTACTGGAGAAACATTTATTAGTAAAAACAGTTGTGCTGCTTAATATTTTTGTGGAAAATGTTTTTATCCAAGACTCTTTAATAAATATTAAGCTAAAAAAAAAAAAAAAAACAGAAACAGAAATCTTTTGTAACATTATAACAAATGTCACTTTTGATGAATTTACAGATCCTTCCTGAATAAAAGTATTAAGTTTCTTGAAAAAAAACAAATCTTACTGACCCCCAAACTTTTGAATGGCAGTATGCCTGGCACACACTAAATAATCACATAATCATCTAAAAAAACAGGATAGAAATACAGCTGTGTCAGTCGCACCACTTTTATTACAAATATAGCGAGATTCCAAACACCGCAGAACTTGACTAAGAAAAGGCCACATTTCAAACCATCATCCTTATCATCATCGGTTATCCTCCTCCTTTTTATATTCACACGACTGTTAAGATCGGTTATTCAAAATATTACATTTAAAATTGTTATTTTTATTAATAAATCACAATCAAATGGTACTCTAGCAAAAAAAAAAAAAAAAAAAAAATTTAAAAAAAAAACACAAT